TTTTCTGTTTGCATCCCTTAGATCTGTGCTATTCTTAAATGATTCGAGTCTGTTCCTTTTATGTTTTACACTGTCCTTGAACTTCTTTTGCAAAAATCACCGATTTCAAGTTGATTTTCACTTTCTTCTAAATCTAGGGTTTTTCAGAACTTCTTCTACACTTTGTTCAAATCGATTTTTATGTTTTAACTTCTATCTTTTGCATATCTCGACTGATTCTATGCTTTACTGCTTTTTTCAACTCGCCTATGTTAAGAGCCCTAATTTTTTAGGGTTCTTCGTTTGGTTTCTGTATTAGCATGACTGACCGGCTCTCATTTTTCTTTGAGTTCTTGTGATTTCTTATGACTGCCTCGCCTTGATATGCTTCTACTGAGTTTCTCAGCCTAAACTTACACTGATTCTATGTGTTTGTGTTCATCTTGACTGTTCGCATCAAGACTTGCATCTTTCTCACTGGTTCAGTATTATTTAACTTTCATATTTGCTAGAGTTGTGTGCCAATTCTTGACTACCCATGTCTTACTCTATTTATATGTTAAACATGCTGACTCTTTTTTCATGACCTTCTCTTTGATTGATTCTGAATTCCTTATTACTTGGTGTGATTTGAACACTTTCCTTTAGACCCCCCGATCCCTACCTTTCCACTCAATTTTAATAGTTTGCTTGCCTTAATTAATTTTACCTTGCCTTGTCTGCATTGTTACTTGATTCTTACTGATTGTTTCCTTAGTTTGAAACATTCTGAACCTAGCCTTAATTACCTATTCTATACTTGTACTATTTTGAAATCTTTCCTTATTTGTTATACTCCAGCCGTGTATGATTTCTTTCCTTACTTGTCACCTGCTCTTTACCGTTTGCACTGACTCCCTTAATTAAAGGGAGATTCGAACCAATTTTTTATACTGAGTTCTATAATTACTGAACAATTGATTCTTGCCTTATTTTAACCAGTTTTCAAACTAATATATAAATGGCTCTCTTCTACAGTCTTAACACACGAACTCTTGGTTCAAAAACTCTCTCACACACTCAAAACTCTCTGCTCTCTTTTTGTACTACTTGCTACTACTCTAAGTTAGCCGGCTGCAAGCCAGAGATAACCGTTGTGTTCTCCTGCTCTTTCGCTGTATCTGCTAACCTCTTCACTGGTATGTCCTAGTTTCAATTCAAAGTTCCAACAACAATATGATTCTCTTATTGTTTCAGTTCATTCTGTTTTTAGTTTGCTTCTATTTGTGGTTTTGCTATGAAATCTGCAGTTAATATGTTTACATTATTAAGCATGTTATGAACTTCCCTTCTTTTTTTAGAATCAGTGTGTTACCCCCTCTGTTTGTTTCTGAACATTCCCAGGCCTTTGCTTGATTATGTGTTTGCAATTAAGTGTTCTATGAACCCCAAACCCCCTTGACCCCTGTTTGGTAACCTGTCTTAAAGGTTGTGTTTGGACTTCTATTCATTTCTTCAATCTCTTTTCAAACAGTCTCTGTTGTTTTACTAAAATTACTTTCAAACAGTCTTTCTTTTTTATACAATTTTTCACTAAAATCACTTTCACTATACTCTTAGTCAATAAGTTCTTCCCCTCTAGTATGTGTACTGCCTTAGGATCCTCTTGAGAACCCTCTGAACTCTGGCATACTGAGGCTAGCCCTTCCACACTGCACTTGTTCAATTTTGGTCACCAAGTCTAGGTGTAAGCACTGCCCGGGATCCTTGAGATCCTTAGGGAACTTTGATGCACCTAGACTATTGTCTATGGAATTGAGGCATATGAGGTCATTGGAGGCTTTGGGGAATCTGGCCTAATTGAAGGCTCCCTATAGAATAGCTTCTTGATTTTTTATTTACTTATGTAATTCATTCATTGGTTTGTAATAACTTGCAAATAGATATTGGGGTATTTAGTGAAAAGGGTGGGTAGATACATGCTTTATGGGGTAATTCGGGTAGAAATCATGCTCCTAGGACCTTACTTTTAAATCTGTATGCTTTACTAAGTAGAAATCATGCCTATAAGGTTCTGCATTTTGTCATGTTTAGAAATCATGCCTATAGGTTCCAAACAATCATGTCTTAAAATCAGATTAATAATAGATTCCATGCCTATAGGACTTAATTCAGATTCTAGTACAATGAGTAATTATGTATGTTTCCTCGCCTGCAAACCGTTAAAATCAGTATTACACTTAGATATCATGCCTATAGGGAACCATATTCAAAATTCTGCTTTTCAATCTAGTTTAGTCTAAATAAGTCAAGTTGATCACGCCTAGTTCATCTCTGACTCGGTTTTATTAAGTATTAAGTATTTCTCGAAACAAGTTCTTTCAAACTGCCTCAATCTCATTAGATATCATGCCTATAGATATTAAAGGAGTCCATTTCAAAATCTGCTTTGTTTTTGCATTAATATAGACATCAGTACTTCGCATATAGGCAAGCCCTTAGGGCGTTTTCAAAATTGCATATCTGAAACTGTCTCTATTGCTTATGTTTTCTAAATCCTAACAAGCTTTTTTTATAAAAAAAATCCGTAGGCAACCGCTAGGGTTATAACTTCTGAGTCTAAAAGAGGTTGTTTGTCTGCATATTCACCTAGATATCCTGCTTTAGGACGTTATCTAATAAAGACCTTAACTGTGCTTGAGTCGTGCTGCTTACGTGTTTGTCTGAGGAGGAAATTCCGAGCCTCTAAATTGCTCCCTTTATGTGTTGAAAGTCCTAAATGTTTTGATTGTCGCCTTAGACTTTTCACCTTAAAAACCTTAGGGGTACGTCTAGAGCCACCTATAGCTAGAGGTCCTAACTCCCTCCAGGACCATTAAGAAGGGATGGGTAGCAGCACGTGATAGGAATCCGTGACCAACACTCGCTTTGCATGACCAATAAGGGGACGGGAAGGGTAGACATGGATATGATGACCGGTGCGCTAATGCCACGCGTATCCCCTTTCTAAAGAGTGATTACCGGGCATTGTACTGATGTGATCCTATAGGCTAACCAACCTAGGACACCTCTTTACATTCACAAATATGCTTAGATTGTACTTCTTTCTTTTCAAAATTTAGCTTCTCATTAACTTTTCTTTTTTCTTTCTCAAAAATCTGTGTATTTAAAATTAAAACCCCTACTATTTGAGCCATACTTGTTTATTTGCTAATTGTACAAATCCACAAAAACTGTTTGGCCGGGAACCACACTAGTGGATCCTGAGGGGTGCCTAACACCTTCCCCTTAGGATAATTTTAAGCCCTTACCCTATCTCTGGTTACCAAACGTAGTTATAAATAAACCCTATAGGTGCCCTAACGCACCTTAAATCGTTAGGTGGCGACTCTTCGAAAATGCAAACCCCTTTCCCAAAAGGAACGAGTTGTCTCAACCAAAATGTCACAAACCCGATTTCGCGAGAAAAAGGGGGCGCGACAGGAATTAGATTAAAATCATTGCAAAATTAAAATAATATTCCTACCAAACTACTAATATTCCTGAAAACAAAGTGGAATTATTTTTGTATTTTTGAATTTTATGAAAGGTAGATAAACTAAAAGTAACAAGATAAAATATCAATAACCTAAATAAAAGAAAATATGTTTGTAATTCTCATTTTTGTGACAAAATAAAGTAAAAGAGTCAAAACTAGTTGAAATAACGATATTAGGCCTAAACTAAATATTTAAATGCTAAAATAAGTAAAATCTTAGGGAGGGTCAAAAATTACATGTCTACACCAGGTTCCGACACAGTATTCCATTTTGTTGCACATATTTGCTCATGTAATCATACCCGGGTGTATTTCCCACTATGTATACTATTAGTATCGATTTCCATTTATCAATCTCCTTTTGTGTTTCTCCTTTGTCAAGCTTAACAATACCAGATCCCTCAATCAATTTCGGAGGAATGTTATCAAGAGACATACCATTAGTTGCAGCACGACTACGATTGGATAGTCCAGACCAAGTAGGTGCTGGATCTTGTTGCTTCATTGCTGCTTCAGCATTCTCCTTTGTTGAATCATTAATGCTTGTACTTCTTTGTGGTCTTTCATTTCCAGTCAATTACGTCTTTGGTTCTCCGCTGAGGTTCAATTGCTTAACCCCAGGGTTCGATTTCACTGCCGACGCTAATGGTGAAAGAGCCGGAAAATGAGTTGCTACTGGTGTTGAAATTCTCTATTCTCCTCCATTTTCTAGAGTTTCAGCTATTACTCTGGCACTTACCGAGCTCCCTACTGTAACAATTGGTTGTTTCTTCGGTCGACCTCGCACTCTGGCCATGGCTACCACCATCAGCGTACGTTATCTTAACGTGCGGCGAGGGCCCTAAAGCTAGAGAGAGGAAATTGTGTTTTTATTAACGAAATAATCGCATTTTTAAGGAAAAATGATACTGTATAGCCGCTTTCAAAATAATAGCCGAAAAAATATATTTTTGTATATATATACATCTTGTAGGTTATATACAAAAATTATACAAATTCGATACACTTTTTCGGCTACTGAATGTAAATAGTTTCTAGCGCGAGCTAAAAGTGAAAAAAATCCATTTTTCAGTGCCTCTCTCTAGATTCCAATAAAGTTAGAAAAATGACACTGTATAGCCGCTCTAAAAATAATAACCAAAAAAAGTATATTTTTCTGTAAGTATATATACATTCTACATGTTATATACAAACATTGTACAAATTTTATAAACTTTTTCGGCTACCGAATGTACATAGTTTCTAGTACGGGCTAAAAGTGAAAAAAGCCCAATAAAGTTTCAAAATGCTTTTTGTTTTCGATAAGTTTCACTTATTTCTTCCAACTTGCTTTAATTCCTTAATGTCAAGAATATCAAATTGTTACAACATTAACTAAATGAGGCGTGTAGTAATCAACACGATCTTGGTACGAAAAGATAATTAATAAGTAATATTAATTATAACAACGTACAAGGTTTGTGCATTCATATCATTCCCTTGAAAAACTAACAAAGAGCTCAAATTTATCGTAATATCCAACTTCATAATTTGGCTTTTCTCTTTCACTTTCATACCTTATGGATAACAAAACGAAAGTGATAATTTTTTCCTTCATTACATGCACTTCTGGCTAGAAGGATAATAAAAAGAAAACAAAAGTGAGAGCTACATTCCTCCAAACCAGGAGCGGAGTTATTGGTTCGATGACAAATTCAGAACTTACAAACTTTAAATCTTAGCCCCGTTTCTGCTCCAAACAAGAATATAATTACTTAAATATTTTCACTTTGGTATCTCTACGATTTACTCCTGGATTGCCAATTGAACTGCTTTAGTCACAGCTCTTACATCCAAAGCTTCATCTTCAGTTTCCACAATTGCTTCCATCCCAAAGAAGCATCTGCTGGTAATCCTAGCTTGAACAACATTCAGTTTCATCTCTTCAAAAGCCTCTAAAATTGAAACTAGCATTTCTTTACCCTTTTTGCAGGCCACTTTCACCAGAAAACTTTTCCCAATTAACTTCTCCACCTTCACTTCCTATTATAAGAAAAACCACAAAATTCTTTTGTAAGACCGGCACCTTTCTATATTTAAAAAAAACAATAACAATAATAAAATAAATTAGTGTAATCCCACAAGTGGGGTATGAAAAAAGTAGTGTGTACTCAAACAATATCCATACCTTGTGAAGGTAGAGAGGCAGTTTCGGATAGACCCTCGGTTCAACTAAAAAAGGGCAGCCCGGTGCACTAAGCTCCCGCTATGCGCAGGGTCCTGGAAAGGGCCGGACCACAAGGGTCTATTGTACGCAGCCTTACCCTGCATTTCTGTAAGAGGCTGTTTCCATGACTTGAACCCGTGACCTTCTTGATTCAACTATATTTAAAAATATTTTAACTCAAAACTTCCTATTTTCTCCTCAAATAACATGTTCTAGCTATAAAAATATAATGATATGTCTAAAATCGCAAGTTGCAAAAATGATTTTAGTATTTTCATTTCATAAAATACTAGATTTGTTTTAGGTCTGTTTCAAAAAGAGACATCTTCCTATATTAAAAATATTGTAACTTAATTTCTTTTATTTTATTCTTAAATATTGAGGTGAGGTGATTAGGCATGACATGACGCAGCTACAGCTAACCGAGGACATGACCCGTGATAGGAAGGGGTGGAAGTCTAAAATTAGGATAGTAGGTTAGGTAGTCTAGATTATTCATACCAGTAGTGTTAGTACGTACTCTCGCATTTGGTTGGTAGTAGGCTTATTTGAATACCTGTTTTTTTCTTTTCTTTTCTGCTTCTACATGGTTTTTCGGTGTTGTCCCGTATTGTTTCTTGTTATTGTCGTGTTACCTATGCTTGCCTGAGCCGAAGGTCTATTGGAAATAGCCTCTCTACCTCCACAAATTAAAGGTAGGGGTAAGGTCTGAGTACACACTATCCTCCCCAGACCTCACTATGTGGGATTATATTGGGTATGTTGTTGTTGTTGTTATCCTTAAATGACATGTTATTTTTTAGTGATAAAAATGTTATGATGTATCTAATACTACAAGTTGCAAAGGATTTTTTTGTATGTGCAATAATTTTTTTAAACTCTATGCCCAGACAAAACACTAGTCTAATAAATGCAATGGAGGAAGCAAAAAGTAAGCACAATTATAATTATATTTATATATAATGTAGAGAGAGAGAGAGTACTTGGAGATGGTTTAAGAGGTGGTGATACTCCCTTTGAATGGCTTCTAGCTGGAGTCTCAGCTTGAGGATGTAAACAAAGGCATCCAAGATGATAGAGCTCTTTTTCACCTTCAAAATAAAGAAAAAACGATTAAGCAGTTTTTTCACTATTTTTTTGGTCCTCCATTATTTTGAAAATTTAAACTGATTAAAGGAAAAGAGAAGGTATAAAATAAAATCAAAAATATTGAATTCAATTTGATGAGAAAGGCTAAAGAAGAATATTAGTATTACTGATTTGGAGTTGGTTAGGGTTCGTAAATAGTGCAACTTTCTACGGGCAACCATTTTACTTTGCACATTTCTTGATGCCATTTTCTCTCTTTCTTTATTAAGGGTTTGTTTGTTGATATGAATGAATAAAGAGAGTGAAGAATAAGAGGTTTTTATAGAGGTAAATTATAGAACGAATGATGTAATAGGTGATCACGGAATGTCAAGATATGTGCTGACATACTCTCCTTTTTTCATCTCTAGGTTGTCACTCTTTTTTTAGTTAGTTTATTACTTTCATTTTTGGCTTTGGTGGGGCTGGGTCCTTGGTGGATGTGGACCTAAATAGACGTTCATCCAACCACTTAAACTAAAAATATCAATAGATGTATAATATATGTATAATCACATATAATTAAATACATAATTTATGTATACCGACTAGAAAAGTAAATATTTTGTGACACCCTAAGCGAATCCCACATCGACAAAACAAGGGAAAGATGCCGGGTATAGAAGTAAACAAGCCTTATACTCCCAACCCACTAGTGATACTTTCCGCTTTGAGCCTAGGCCCGCACGACTTATAAAACATATCACTAAAATATAAGGCATGTTTACTTATATAGCCAATATTTCTCTCATGTTTTGTCAATGTGAGATTCGCCTAGGGTACACAGTTTCGGCCGGCTATTTGTGTTAGTCCCTTAAAATTAGGTAAAAAGTACTTATCTGTGGAGTTTTATTCGATACAGAATTTTAAGAAAGAAATAAATAATTTTGAAATTTGTAGTTTTATAGGGGACTTTTAATAGAAATATTTGGATGAATGTCAAGCCAAGATAAAAGACAGTCCAATAGACAGTCACTGGCATCGCCTATAACATGGAATCAGCTGAAAAGGACTGATAGGAATGACAAAAGCCATGTAACGAGACACCCTTCTGATGCAGGTTAGGTCAGATTAGGACCCTTTGGTTCTTTCTTTCTTTTTTTAATTTTTTTATTTTATAATAACATGGTGTCGGGATCAGTTACGTGCATTGAATATATATATATATATATATATATATATATATATATATATATATATATATATATATATATATTCATTTATTTAAAATTGAGTCTCCGTTGATAATTGATGTGCAAAACGTTGCAATTTAATTTATTAGTCCCCTAACATGCCCAGAAATTCATACCTTATGTATACCTTATATATATATAAGGTATGAATTTCATCAAAGCTATGGCTTAAGGCTGCCAACTTATCTGCCAACTTACGTGTTACCTCTCGTCAATACATGTTATATAGGGCCAAATTTGACCGTCAGCGTCTCTATGCCAATGGGTACGCGCAGTGAGTATACGCCAACTAACGTAAGGGTACGACTCGGACGTGGGGACAAAAGCGACATCGTTTAAGACTCAGTATCTTCACTAGGAAAACGTTACCTATTTTTGTAATTTTTTTTATTATTTCGAGGAAGGTCTCTTATTATATAAGGGAGACCTTCACATTGTAAAGAAGGGGATTGAGGAATAATACAACTCTCTCATTTTCTCATACTCTCTCTCTATCGCTATCTCTAACGAATACTTTCTCTTGAGTTCATATTATCATTATTAGATCTACAACAACAACTTCATTTTTCATCTCTAGGTCTATTATATTTGATTACGATTTACCCTTTCTTACTTTTGATTGTTTTTAAGCTTGCAAAGTATATCGATAACTTTTGAGCCAAACAATTTGGCGTCATCTGTGGGGATTTCGAGAATCAAAATCATAGTATCCACCTAGAGAGCAACCAACTACCATTCTCTACACCACACGAAAACAAAAGATGGCTGAAAATAACACCAGAATGAAAGCGATAGTGGGTGTTACAGCCAATCTCCTTGCTCCTCTCAACGAGGCTGGTGACGAGGGCATCTTGAATGCAACCCCTAGCATCACGCCAGGTGCAGAGATCTCATCTTCCCCATCCGAAGATCTGAGGATCTTGCATGAAAAAGGAGCTTCCACATCTGCGGCTAAGGAAGCACCCGCGGTGGTCAAGAAGCTACTGGAAGAATGGCTAACAAGCACTCTAAGTGGCTTGGTTGAGAAGTCACCGCAAAGTAACGACAGGTGTATACCAACGGTAGGTACCGCTGCTGCCATCGATGAACCTGAAGCTGCACGAGCAAATAACAAACCCATCGAGGCACAGACCAACGATGGCACGCTAACAGCCATCCTAAAGAAGATGGAAGAAATGGAGAATGAAAACAAGGCACTCCGCGACCAAATGAAAGAACATCAGGAGAGGGTAGACAAGATCCCCGGCGCTCCCAAGTTGCTACCAAAACGCGACGTGGGGAGGTTCGTTGAACAACCATACACTGAAGAAGCTGCCCCTCACCCTATCCCAAAAACCTTCAAGATGCCACCCTACTTGAAGGTATATGACGGAACCACAGATCCCGAGGATCATTTAATCCATTATGTCACTTCTGTAAAGGGCAACGACCTATCAAAAGAACAGGTACCATCGGTGCTGCTGAAGAAGTTTGGTGAGACGTTGACAGGAGGGGTCCTAACGTGGTACTCTCAGCTACCAGCTAAGGCGATATCAACGTTCGAGGAAATGGCGGATAAGTTCGTCACCGCCCATGCAGTTGCAAAGAAAGCGGAAGCAAGGGTCAACGACATCTTCGCCGTCAGGCAAACCACAGGGGAGGGACTCAGGGACTTCCTAGCCAGGTTTAATAGGGTAAGGATGAGTCTACCAAACGTATCGGAAGGCATGGCAGTCGCCGCTTTCCAGAACGGGCTAAACAGGAATGGTTCGAGGGCAACCAAGAAGCTACTAAGCCGCCTCATGAAATATCCCCCTACCACATGGGAGGAGATCCACAACGCCTATTGCGCTGAGGTACGAGCGGACGAGGATGATCTTAATGGGCCGACCCAACGGCTAACAACGATACACTCAGAAACAAGGAGGGATCGACGTAACGAAGGACGACGAGAACAACTCCCACGCTCCAACAAAGACCGACACCAGCCATACACCAGATCCTCCCATCCACCACCAAGGCATACGGACGCGCTACAGCGATACGTCGCCCCGCTCCGAAATATTATCCGCCCATAACTTTTGTGTGTCTCCTTCAGAAATAGTGTACGCACTGGAGAAGCTGGGCACCAAAGTGCAGTGGCGGCAGAAGATGAAATCAGACCCCGCCACAAGGGAATCAAACGTCCTATGTGAGTTCCATAGGAACGGGGACACAAAACCGAAGACTGCATAGGCCTACGGCAAGAGGTGGTCAGGATGCTGAACCAGGGATACCTGAGGGAATTACTCAGTCACAAAGGGAAAATCAACTTTGCACGCGGACGGGAACAACCCCACGGGCCGCCAAAGCCGCCCTCCCTAGCACGCACGATAAACATGATCGTCGGAGACGCCGACGACTTAGTGATCAATCACGTCAAGTTCACCACCACGCACAAACTAAAGCAGACCATCGCTCATGAGCGGTATGACGACTTCGAAGATAGTATCACCTTCGATAAGTCTGATGCCGACGGTTTGTCTTTCCCTAATTACGATGCTTTAGTTATCACTTTACGTATCGCTGATACGGATGTTAGAAGAATCATGATTGACGACGGAAGTGGCGCCTGTATTATCCACCCGAGGGTCCTCGTACAAATGGGACTCGAGGATAAGGTAATACCGCGTTGCATAACACTAACTGGTTTTAACAATGCAGTGGAACGGACATCCGGAGAAATATCATTGCCCGTTTTAGCAGGAGGAGTCACGCTGAAAACAAAGTTTTTGCTGAAAGAGTAACCGTTGAAAAGGGACCAGGTGCCACTCATAAAAAACGCATGTTACCTACGTGGACTAAAAGAGCACTTATTCATCCTCTTGCTTATTACAAGGGACCCAAACTTGCTCGGGTTCCTAAATCTAACTCTTGATTTCCTTGTGCAGGGAACAGTTAAAGGAAGCAGTCAACAATGGTTCATGGACAGTGGATGCTCAAAGCACATGACCGGGAACACCATGGACTTTCATTCACTAAAAGCCCTGCAAGGAGGGAGTGTATCCTTTGGCAATTGGAAAAAGGGATACATTCTATGAGTTGGAAAGATTGGGAAATCACTCACTCACTCAATTGAGAATGTGTACTATGTCAATGGCCTCAAGTACAGTCTCTTGAGTGTTTCTCAAATATGTGATAAACGAAACAAGGTGGAGTTCTTGTCAAAGATATGCACAGTTACTAATCTAGTAACGGGTGAAGTGGTACTAGTGGCCAAAAGATACAAGAACATATACGTTGCTGACTTTGAGTCCCTACAAAGTGGTGATCTGAGTTGCTTGAAAGCAGTTGATGATGATGCTGAGCTGTGGCACAGAAGACTGGGGCATGCAAGCTTTTCTCTACTGAATAAGCTAGTTCAGAAGGACCTGGTGCGTGGTCTTGCCAAGTCAAAGTTTGTAGAGCACAAAGTTTGTGATGCCTGCGCCAGAGGGAAGCATGTGAAATCTTCATTTAAGCCAAAGAAGGATGTAAACACCTCAAAACCACTTGATCTCCTTTGTATGGATCTATGTGGTCCTATGAGAGTGCAAAGCAGGGGAGGAAAAAGATACATTTTTGTGATAGTGGATGACTATTCTAGATTCACTTTGACTCTTTTTCTTAGAACAAAAGATGAGACCTTTGAAGTTTTTGTAGCCTCTGTGAAGAAAATTCAAGTGAAGATGGAGTCAAAAGTAGCCTGCATAAGATCAGATAATGGAACAGAATTTGACAATGCTAAGTTTGATGAATTCTGCAACGAAAATGGCATCACCCATAACTTCTCATCCCCAAGAACTCCACAGCAAAATGAGGTTGTGGAAAGAAAGAACAGAACTCTTGAAGAAATGGCAAGAACAATGCTGGTTGATAGTGGGATTGCTAAGAACTTCTGGGTTGAATCTGCCAACACTGCCTGCTACTTGGTGAACAGGTGCATGATCAGGTCTCTCTGGTGCATGATCAGGTATCTCTTGAACAAAACTCCCTATGAGTTGCTGAATGGAAGGAAACCCAAGTTGACTCACTTAAGAAAATTTG